CAGTTCGATTCCTGGTCAGGGCAGATGTCTGGGTTGTGGGCCAGGTTCCAAGTGGGGGCCATGTGAGAGGCAACCACATACTGATATTTCTCTCTCTCTCTCTTTTTCCCTCTCTCTAAAAATAAAAAATAAAATATAAAAAAAGGCAAGAAAGTGAATAATTTGATAATCAAGATAGGGCTTATCTCTAGACGCTTGGGGGGGTTTTAAGGGAAGGGACAAATTAGGGCTTTTTGGGACATTAGTAATTTTCTACTTTTGACCCAGTGGAGTTACATGAGTGTTTAAGTTGTAGTCTTTAAGTAGTACACTTCTGTTTTCATGAACGTTTCTTTTTTAAAAGAGTTTATTTATTTTTAGAGAGAGGGGAAGGCAGGGAGAAAGAGGGGGAGAGGGACATCAATGTGTGTTTGCCTCTTGGGGGCACCTCACCAGTAAACTGGTCTGCAACCCAAACATGTGCCCTGCCTGGGAATTGAACCAGTGATGCTTTGGTTCCCAGGCCCAGGCTTAATTTATGAACATTTCCGTGTGTTTGCTATATTTTTCATCACACAAAAAAAATTCTAATATTCTTCTGCCCCCATTATTCTTGATTCTTTCCCTAGTTAGAAGCATCTACTGTGCCTCATAGGGACTTAGAGTTGTTTTAGCAAGACTACAAAGAGAACAAACAATTCAGTCTTTAAAAACAAAACAAAACGAAAACAAAAAAACCTTTCAAAATAGGTTCTCAAGAACAAAAGAAAAAGCTTTCCCGAGAGTGAAACAGCATTTGACCCTATTTCTCTCCCAGCCCTGGCCAGATTAGCTTAAAAAACCCTACTGAACTGAGAGGTGTATATGGAACACAACACTGAAGAAGATTGGGAGGGAAGAATGAGGTTTGATGGGATTAGTGGAAAAGGGCATCGGAGTGGGCTGAGTGCCATTTCAGTGGATAGGGACAAAGGTTTGGGTTAGAAGCCTAGAAAGCTGTTATCAGAGCAGCTTTTGAGGGTTGCCTACTGTCTACACATGCTTCATCCAGCAAAGGATAACAGCTTCCCTCTGAATTTCCTGGTAGTGAGCTCATGACACCTCTGTCAATGACAGAGAGTAGAGTTGTGGACTGTCTGGTACTGTTCAATCTTCTTCTCTCTATTCCTCCCACCCATTACACCCATAGAGATTTTAGTCTGTAGGGCCCAAGAATCTATATTTTAGTAAGTACCTTGGGTAACTCTCATGTAGGTGGCCTCTTGTGTTCTTGTGTTTGAGTACCATTGCCCATGAAAACTCCCATCAGTGGTCATGTTAAAAATTCAAATTCATATGCCCCATACTAGATATATAGAATCAGATTTCCAGAGAAGGGGTCTGAGAATTTGTTTTTTTTTTAACAAAGACCCCAGGTGATTCACAGGGAAGTCTGGGAAACTGATCTAGAGACTTCTATATTTTGCTTTTTTGTTTTTGTTTTTGCAATGTACTCAAAAACATTAGTTTGTAATAACTGCATTTTGAAAAAAGTTAGTACCTTGTAGAAAACAACAGATTACAAATAATAATTTTTTTCTCCAGTCCAGATTCCTCCACAATGCTGAAGATCCATAATCTGTTTACATGACACCTCTCCTTGCAGTCCAAAAACATCAAACCCAATGTGTTCAAATTGAAATCATCATCTTCTCCCAAACCCAACTCCATTTCAGTGTCCTCACATCTCAGGGACAGCATTAGTATCTACTCATTGTGCCTGACAGAAATCCTCCTGTCATCTCTAACTCCTCACTCTCATCCAATCCCCATTCAGCCTCACATCTAAATCCATTACCAGGAGCTAACATTCTACTTCCTAAATGGTTTCATTTTCCTGACATGTCTTCATCTTCTGGTTCCTACACCAGTCCACTTGAACTACTACCAACACTAACCACCACCAATAAATCCTAATTGGTCCAATGCTGGCCCTGTTCATATTCTCACATGGCAGCTGGAATGATCTCTTCCAAACACAGATCTGATCAGATCAAATCCCCTTCCCACTTTGTTCTCAAGAAAAAGTGAAGGTTTCAGTATGGCCAGTGAGGTCCTGTTTAGTCTGGTCTTGGTGCTTCACAATGTAGCACCTTCTCCCTGCAATCTATGCCCTAGCTACAATGGCCTGCTTTCAATCCATCATGCTGGTAATGTTCTTTCTGACAAAACACCTTTACCTAAGATGTTTCCTTTGTTTCCCTTTCTCCTTTCTTCAGTTTTTTTAACCCTTTAGATCTCCATTTCAGAGTGACTTCCTCAAAGAGGACTTTCCTAAACCAGATCAATGAATAATCCCATTGCAAGCCCTCATAGCTCCTATCCCTGGTAACTTTCATTTATTTCTCTAAATACCTGTGGGTCATTTAACTAAACCTTTTTTAACTAGTAGACCTTTTGAATTCCTTTAGTTAGTTAGATTCCTTTCTTATCTCTTCTGGTGCTCTTCCATTGTCCCTTCCCTAAAATCTATCCCAGGATAATTTTAGGATTAGTAGGGAATAACTCTTTAATATTTGAACACAACTAAAGTACCACTTTCATTGGCTGTCCCACATCCTCTCTTGCTGATCATCTTCCATTCTCTTGAACATTTGTCTCTATCACAGTACTTACTCATTTTATGTTGTTTTTTTTTTGTTTTCTTCAAGGTTTCTCTCACTAGAGTCAGTTGCTTTAGGGCAGCTGTTTTATTTATCTATCTTCAGTACTTAACACACGGTCTTGTCCTCAGTAAGTATTTAGACCAACCCCTGTAGCCTGCTGTCCAGCCATGGAGTACAAACATTGAATATCTCAGTTTGTAATGTCTTTCCTCACTGTGCCTAACAAAACATTTACCACTTAATATAAAGGAGGCAGTGAAACAGCACCTTCAACAATGGACATAGTCTTTCTACTCTTCAGTTTCCTCATTTTAAAAATGATACCTACCTTAAAAGTTTGTTGGGAGGATTAGAAGAATGACTCAGTAGGTATGTTCTTCACCAGCCCAAATCTCTGTTCTTCCAGAGCAACTATCTAGAGAATTTTGTTGCTGGATTAGGTTTTTGGAAGCTTTTGCATCCTGCTTGCTCTTCTGCCTTACACCTCCTGTTTCTTCCTGTACACATAGACCTTGATGGCTCAATTAAAACCAGAGAACAAATCTTTAGCAATCAGAAGGCATTTCTTTCCTATTCTCTAAGGAAAAGAGATCTTCCTGAGGTGATTTGCATCAAATGTAGTATCTGCATAACTGCACAGGCCTTTTTTCTTTTAAAGTACATTGAAATAGCAATGGTTGAAAAACAAAATGGTTCAATTTCTGCATCAAAATAGGTGAAATGCTTGTTTTCATTTTCTTCTAGGTTTGTGAAGTGCCTGACCCTGAGTATACAATGTTGAAACCAGAAAAATAGAGAATAAAATAGGGACTGCCTTAAAGAGATTGGGCCTGGAGGCAGAAACCACAAGGAAATTAAGAAAGAACATAGGGAGTGGAGAAGGCGGAACTACAAAACCAATGGGGTTGAACAAGTAGAGGATCACCTGTTCAAATGTCTAGATTAAAATTTTTCCATTACTCAAAACCCAGAAAGCTTAGGTCATGCTCACGCCACCCGAGTAGCCAGTAGCTAACAGCCACATTTGCTTCTATACAATGCTTGCTTGCTTGCGTCTATAAAAAGACTTAGCTGTAAGTGCTTAGGGTGGCTTTCGTTTGCAGCTCTTACGAGCACCGTGTCTCCCTGGGTCCGCCCCTGCGCAGGTTAAAACTTTGGCCAATAAAATAACATCTCTGAATCCTGAAAGTTTCTGACAATTTGTCTCTCGCGTTGGTGGATGCAACATACAACATGTAAACTTTGGTTCCCTTTCCTTCATCCTGTAACTAAAGAGTTTGGCAGCTAGGAGAAGCCACTCCACCATGAATTATCTGGTAGCTTCCAGGAGAAATTATTCTTACCATCTAGATACTACTACGTACAGTTCTTTTCTTTGCATACTGAAACAATTATATTTTAAAAATTATAGCAATTTTTAAAAAATTTTAGAATGTGTATGTAACTAAATTAGAAAAACCCCATGGAAGTGTTTGCACAAAGGGTTAAAAACACGTCGCAGGGTTAAAAACACGTCGCAGGGATGGCAAAAGCTTTATTGACGTTTCTCTACCCTTCTCCACGTTACCTTGTGTGATTCCAGTATCTTGTTATTTAGGATTGTCATTTCCAGTTGACTAGGAAACTAAATGCTTTTTAGGCGATGTTTTAAATCTGAGGCAAATGTCGGCTGGGTTGTTTATATGTGGGCCCACGTTATCAGGCAGGACCCGTGAAGGGTGTTTTTAAGGTAAGAGTTTTAAGAAACAAAACTCAGTTTTTGTTATCTAGTTTGAAATCAACCTTTTGGCATTTGAAGCTTACAGGCAGATGAGGTAAGCGTTCAATCTTCAAATGACTCTTTGTGACGGTCTTGACTGATAACAGCCTCCAGCACTTCTGGCGGCTAGGCTGAATTTTCTCCACTGACTTCTTTGGGAACCGGTTCTTCTAATATGTGTAGTGCTAACTTGCTCTGCTGCCTGCTGGATAACAGCCCAGACTCAACTCTTCAGGAGAAACTACCTTCCAGGGGCACCCACTCCACCTTCAACCCCACTCATCTCTCGCAGTGGTATAGGACCAATTTCTAGGATTTTATTTTTCCAGTGAGATTTGCAGAATGGGCTTTAAAAGAAAAGGCGGAGGTAGCGGAAGAGTTAGAATTAACTGTATTTGCAGCAGTCAAAATAAACAGCATCACACCTCCCAGATGGGATGACGAAGCGCACCCCATTTAGCTATAAAGTCACAGCAGGAGGCGTCCCCAGGCCAACCGCCCCACTGCCCTCCCCAACCGCTCGCCCCGGCCACGGTCACGTGACGGGGGAGCGGCGCGCGCCGGCCGCGGCGGCGATTGGCCGGCGGCGGGAGCGCGGGGTTTGATGGGAAGGAGTTGGCTGGGCCCATCTCTCTGTCAGTGGAGTGTGCTACCCGCTCCGGAGGCGGGCTGCGTAGTGGCGCCCGAAGCTGGCAGAGGTGGACTCCAGCGCTGGGCTTTGCCCGCTCCTTGAAGGTAGAGCGCTTAAAATGAGGGCAACTAGAAGGGCTCGGCAGAGGGAAGGCGCGCTGAGCCTTTTGCTGGGAAAGCTCCCGGTTCCCCCGCTTGCTTCTCCCAGGCGCCCCCGCCCCTAGCCGAGTGGCCTGAGAGCTCTACGCGGGTACGGTGGCGGCTCATCAAATTGAATGCTGGCTGCGCGCTGACCCAGTCTTGCCGCGTGGTCCCTCTGATTTCCTAGCACAATGGTAGGGGTGACTCAGGAGTGCTTGGAGACCCCTTTCTCCGCCCCTCCCCCCAAGGGAGGTGGTTCCCAGTCCTGATCTCTGCGCAGGACAGGGGGGTGACTGGGGTGAGGTGAGCATCGGTTCTTTGGCTCATCTACAGGGGTCAGAAGATCCTAAGATACGCTGTCGTTTGGAATGTTTTGCTAAGGTCCTTCTGAGTAGTGCGGAGGCTCTATGAGTTGGAAATATCGGGAGGGACCGAAAACTGTCAGTGTCATGCTGCTCGGCCCAGAAGTGTGGGCGTGGATTCTTTGCAATTTAGAGAAGCCTTTGTACAATTGTCCTTATTTGAGGAATGGTGGGCGGTGTAGGGGGTGGAGGGAAGGGCAAGTTTGCTTACTTGTCCTAACGATGGCAGAAGAGAAAATGTAAACTACATCAATAGTTTTAATTCTTTAATATTGTGTTTGGGGGTTGAGAGAGAATTGGGATTGGTGATTTTCCTGATCGTTTCCTCACAGTACTAAGTAAAACCTGTGACTCACTGAGTTTTCCATGTTCTGCTTTTCCTAGTTGGCTTCTGGTTTGTGGTGTCTAGCGTCAGCTATTTTCTTGTTTCTCTGTGGCCTGGGTGTCACCACTGACAAAACTGACCCTGTTCAACAGGGGTTTGGGTGAGTGGGCTTGGTTTCAGGCACATGTTCAGCCTGGCAGGGAACGCTAATCTCGTGTCCTCAGCAGTCCATAGTTACTTTTTAGGAGGACCAAGTTGATTTTGAACACATTTGAAAAAACATGGGTGATGCATTTTAAAATTAGAATGCTTAGTTTCTCTGTCATCTCCTGAGATTATCCCAGTGTTGTTAATGTGTTTATATATTGTTAAATTGAAAAAGATTATAAGGAAAGTTATTGGCTGTCATAAATTTATATTGAAGTCTTCCAAATCAAAATTATTTTTTGGTGATATTAAGAATGAACATTGACTTACTACGAAGACTGTAACTTAATCATCATATAGTAAAAGTGCTTTTGGAGGTGTCCTACTCTTCAGTAACTTCATTTTTAAGCAGTAAATGTGGTAGTTTGGGATATTTCAGAATTCCCTTTTCAGTTATGTTAAAGTTTGAGTTCTAGAACAAATCATTTTTAATCTTAAATAGTACAGTGTGTTATAGAGGTACTACTGATAGTGATTGAGTAGTTTCTACTTAAGTTTTAAACTTGATAAGCATAAAACTAAATATCCTTTGCTGTTAAAAGCCTACATGTTATTTTAATGGAAGAATCTGTAGAGTATTTTGCTTTAATTTTTATACTACAGAGCATGAGATCAATACAATTTCAGTCAAAATACAAACTGTAATTTTATTTTCCAGTTTTAAGAAACAGGTTCTTTCTTTAAAGGAAGTTAGAAAAAAATTGTTCTAGATTAGAAGTATTATTTGTAATGTGTTTTCTGATATTAATAATAGTGGCTATAATTTATTACACACTTATAATTTGTTGGTTACTGTGTCAAGTAATATATAATTTTATTTAATTCATACAATAATTCTATGTGAAATGTAGATATTTTTCTACTTTACAAATGTAGAAACTGAGGCTTTGAGAGTCTAATTTATCCAAGATCACATATCTAGTATGTAGTTGAGTTATATTTTGAACCTAGACCTCTTCTACACCATTATTTTAATCACTTGAAATTAGTTGTAAATTTAAAAATAACATGCCCCAAGATTTGAAATGCTGACATCCAAACCTCAGTGTGAATTGCAATTAATAGAGAAAAAAATCCATACATGGGGCCATTATTATTCACTGAAAACATGTTAGATGTGCCTCGCTTTTAATGCCATATTAGGTCCCATTGTGATATCAGAGTGGAAAGAGATTCTGTACATGTTCATGGGAGAGTTCTTGGGGACCAGCCACTTGAGAATGAGCCATTTGTCCACTCAGGAGCAAGCAAATTGATTTGTGCTTCAGCAAGGAATGCTAGTTATTTGGTTCCAGTGTAATTTCCATGTGTTGAAAGGAAGCAGAGATGGGCTAGAAAACAGCAAGGATCACAGCAGATAAAACAACAATTTGTATTGACAAATTAACATGGGTCAGTTATTGTACATAGTTCAGAATGCATCATTTAAGCTTTTCAACATTTAAGAGGGTCCTTAAACTATTTTTCCTTTGCAGATGAAGATACTGAGTAACTGAGAGGGCAAGTAATTTATTTGCCCAAGGTTTCATGGCAAGTAATGGGCCATAGGAAATGGAGTTAACATGTTTGGGTGGCAAGGAAGGAAAAGGTATTTGAATATAGAAGAGATGTGAAATTAAAGCTATAAAGAAATAGTTGAGTTACTTCATTTTGTTAGGTTTCTATATCTTTTGGAAAGTACTGCCATTACATGTGTATTATAGTAGATCAGCTTCTTTAACAAATATCAGAATTTGATAGGAAAATTGCTGAAACAATGAGGGTTGACTGGTTCTTTGATTATGAATCTGAAAGCATGGATATGGCATTTAATGACTATTACCCTAATACTGCTTTAGAGGACAAATTAAAAAGCACAACCCTCTGCTTCAGGGATCTTGAAGGCTAAGCCATAGTTTGCTTCATTAACACCAAAACAATTTTCCAGGCAAATAATTGATGTCAAAGTCAGCATTAATTGCAATTTTATGCATATATTTCATATTATACTTATTTTAAAAGTGTGATGTACAGAAACAAGTAGAGGAAGTACTTTCAGATTTCTAGTGCCAGTTCTGCCCTTAACTGGAGTTGCATGATTTTGGCAAATCGTTTAGCATCTCTTCCATGTCGATTTATGCATTCAAAGTTAATCAGATGAAGAAATTGGGCTACATTGTACACTGTACTAACACTGTCTCTTGTGTTTATAACTCACTTTCCACTTTAGCTCTGTTCACCAGCTAAATAGAATGTCAAAGGCGCTTTCATATATTTTGTGTATATTCTAATCTAATATATAAAGCTGACTTTATTTCTGATTTCATGTTATAGGGTATAACTAGTTGATTTTTTAAAAGTCAAAACTAAAATGCTGTGTCTGGCCCTACTACTTAATATCTTTGGGGCCTTAACTAATTACTTCACTTCCCTAGCCTCAGTTTCCTCATTTATAAAATGGAGCAATAATAGTATCTAAATGATAAAATTCATGTAAAACATTCATTTTAGAGCTTGCTAGAGAGTAAGTGCTTACTTAGCAATGTTTAACTGATATTATCCTTGTTATTATTTTCAAATATTAAGAATTCTGATTTGTGATGGCTGCAAACTTGGAGGCATGTAATTCTATTACAAACCAAAATGTGTAGGTCAGTTGTATACAAAACACTGGTAGACACTATCCATTCATTTCAAAATAGTGAGATAATGCATACTTTGAAAATATCAAGTTAAAGTGGTTCATCTGAATCTCCCCTCTCCAGTCACCTTTCTTGGTGATTATTTTTAGCATCTTAAGAAGGGTTTAAGATCTATTTAATGTCTTAATTCAAAAATTTATACCTTTATTCATTAAAGTTCCAGGGTTTCCTATAACTGAATTTTGGAAATTTGAATACTGAGTTAATATTGAAGGATTGATAATATTTAGATTGCAACATAAATATGACTTAGAGCATTCATTATATTGATAAGCTTTGTAAATTTCAGGACAGATTATAGTTATTTCTATTTCTAAAAATTACTTTGTAAGTGAAAGTATTTAATAATTAGGCTCTTTGTTACTTCTCTAATCAAGAAAGTTCAAGATAGGTATGGCTTATGCTAATTTTTACCTATAAATATTGTTGCAGGGTGTACTTACTTGGTACTGGCATTATTATATTTATGTTTTTTTTTAAATGTAAGAATTATTGCCTAACATGTTTTTAATAGAAATGCAGTAGTATATACTGGTGGTATGTAACTACAACCTGGTTTAACTTAATAGAATAAATATTTATATAATTATTGACTGGTAATTTGATTTAGAATATAATATTACTGATACATTTTAAAACATATGATAGTATTATAATACATTTCAGAGAAATAGAAAAACAACTAAATGAAGGGGATGTAGATAGATGACATGAATTTCACCTAACAGGAGGGGGACTTGGGCACAGTTTCAGAAAGAAATGTTTATTTGGGTGTCAAACAGTAGTGAACAGCCAGGAAGTCTGAAGACAGAGTGACTTTGGGCCACGTTTCTTCTGAGCTACTGGACAAATCACTAAAACTCTTTTCACTTAATTTTTGTATCTGTAAAATGGTAAAAATGAAGTCCATCCTGTGAAAAGCGAAGGTTTTATTAACTCTTACTTACAGAAAACAAAATTACAGCTCAAAAACATTAAGTGATTTGCTCGATATCACAGGTAGCCCTGAAATCCTTATATATTCTTATTCAAAATCCAATTGGCTTTCTATTATTATTTAAAGAGTGATGTTTTTTTAAACATTGTAATATACCTTTAATTCCAGATAAGTAGTTTAGTTGGGAAACAGCTGAGTGATAGAAAAATTTGTGTTTAATCATGTAGAATGAAAGTAATACAGTAAAACTTTTCTTACAAGAGCAGCAAAGGGTACCTACTTTAAAGAACAGAAAATTGCAAAGTGGTGTGAATATATACTTCTAAAATGTCTTGCCATTAAAAAGCTTTTCCAGCTTTATTTTCACTTTGGAATATGTTCTGGCTTGGAAGAAAGGGTTATTTAAAAGGTGGATTCTATCCTAAGACTGTCTAAATTAAAATTTGACGTAGGAGGGGTCCAAAGCAATTAATCTTCTATAGTATTTTTAAGCAGTATTACAACCCCTAATTTTATGGTGGGTGGTGTATGTGTTGTAACTTAAATTTTAAAAATACTTGCTTCATTTTTAGCTGTGAATTCCTTTGGACAATTGATGATATTTATCATTGTGCTCAGTTTCTACAGATAAAAGATGGGTGGATTATTTTCTCGATGGAGGGTAAGTTACTTTTCTTTACAGCCAGTTTTTAGTTTAATATTGAAGTGTCAAATAAAGCTATTTGTAAAAGTTCCTTTTGTGGTGTAGACTTGACTAGTAGTTTGATATTATCCCTGACTCTAATTTTTTTCTCTTATAAATTAGTTTTTTTATTTGGACTTTAATAGTTCTGTTTGCTGTTTAGGTATCTAATGTCTCTGTTGAACAGAATTAGTTCACTCTTACTTATGAATTGTTTTTATTTCTCTATTTTTGTATTTATGTGCAAATGGTTATCTTGTTTTCTTCTCATAGTGCCTAAAATTCAATCTTACTTGAAAAGTAGTTGAAATTAGTATTTTATACAATACTTATATTTTTACAGGCTATATCTTTTTTGCTTAAAACTTATCACAAATATTTACTGATGTTAGGAAATATACTTTTAGGAAATGTAGGTTAAACAGAATTAAAAATGCAGTCTGACTTTATTGGTTGAAACTTTAAAGGAAGTAGCTCAACTTGAGAGCTATAAAATATAAAATATATTGATAAATGCTCTTCTCTAGTATAAGAGGAGATAATGTAGTCTAGGCCAAATTAACTTTGCTTATTTTTGGGCTCCTTTTTACTTTAGTAATACTTGGAACACAATTTAGTTTTGAAGTGCTGCTGGAACTGCTCTGTTTTGGATTGGCATTATATTGACCCCTGCCCCCTTTTAAAAACCTTTTTACAGTTCTGCCTACATATCAAACTTATCTATTCTTCCTTTGTCTTTCTTGTTAGGGTGAACTATTTGAAAGAGCCAATATTCAACAGCTTTGACTTACATGAATAGCAGTTTCATATGGTTCAACCTAATGTTAACAACTCTTGTGGGAACTACAGTGAATTGATATTCATTACCCCTTAGATTGTTGAGTATATAATTGGTAAACATTTTCTCAAGTGTTGTATGAGTCATTTTGGCTGGTTTTTATTCTAGGTTGTATAAAAAACACGCTTAACAAATAAGCCCTGTTATGAAGTATTCTTAGATGCCCCTTTAAAATCTGATCTTCAGAAAAGTACTTTAGGAATCCAGAATGAAGGTAGTGTATCGATTTTGACCTCCAGAGTCCTTCGTGAACTTATAGCAATAGCAAATCAGACCAATTTTAGCTTGAATTTTTAATATATGAATTCTTTGATTCATCATATCTAAGAAAATTTTTCTTTGAAAAAAATTTGTTTCTTGGTAAAAATATGTTCTGTTGGGATTAAGAATGGTAAAAATTGAGGTATCAAAGTTGAAAGTACTTCTAGGACTAGAAGAAAGTTAAAAAGGAAAATATTTATTTAATCTTATATAGTCCCGTTTATAATTATAATTTTTAGTTAAATCTCAATCTTATTTATAAATAAACAGGAATACATAAAGCTTGACAACATTTTAAAAAACAATTTTGGATTAAAGTAAAGTATTCTTTTATAATTATATAAATCAAGGTGTTTCTAAATTTGCAGTAAGAATTTTTGTTTTTGAGCAGTAGGATGTCTTAATCATGTCTCTTATTTCTATTTCTACAACAGGCAAAACCTTCAACTGTAGAAGTTCTGGAAAATATTGATAAGGTATGTTTTTTTGTCTCTGGGGAGTTTTAATTCATTTTAGGTGTTACATAAATATTATATTAATATATATTATTTTGGAGACTGAATTTGGTATGGGAATTTAGAGATGATAGAGAGGAAGCATGACAACTTTAATGTTACATAATCTCAAAAAATCCAAAGTCTGTCAGTGACTTAAGACTGTGCCAAATGATAGAGTGTGTTTGAATGAAATTAGAAGTATAGCATTGTGTAAATCAATGTTACAGATAGGATAAAGTAGATTATAAGATAGTCTGCAACAAGTTTTATTAGTCTGCAAACTTCACAGCTTTTTAGGCTTTCTATGATTATTAAATATGCCTGTTCCTTGAGAATAGTGAGAGAGGTGAATAGATTGAAAGAATATAGTATAGATCACTGTTTCAGTATTTATTAATTGTTTTTATAGCCAGATATTTTATAGACTTTATGCAGGGGAATTGTTACTTGTTTGATTTAGCAACTACTATTTATTAATGCTAATTTCATACCTCTGATCTTTGCTAATTTGCTAGGTAAAAAATAGTATGTTAATATGGCATTTTAAAAAAGTGATTATCAGAATAGGCATTTTTATTTATTCACTTATTTATTTCTAGATAGAAGGGAAGGGAGGGAGAAAAAGAGGGAGAGGAACATCAATGTGTGGTTGCCTCTCACATGCCCCCACGCCCCCCCACTGAGGACCTGGCCCACAACCCAGGCATGTGCCCTGACTGGGAATTGAACCAGTGACCCTTTGGTTCACAGTCTGGCACTTAATCCATTGAGCCATACCAGCCAGGGCCATTTTAATTTATTTTTAACTTTTAGTTTTTTATATTATGTTCTGTTTTATAATATTAAAATATTACATTTCATTGAAATTTAAAATTTCTGTCCTTTCTATCATGTGAAGAAATTTTGTTAACATTTTAGCATCTTTATGAAACTTGAGACTTAATAAAATAAAGTAATTTTCTCTTAACAGGAAATTCAAGCATTGGAAGAATTTAGGGAAAAAAATCAGAGACTACAAAAATTATGGGTTGGAAGATTAATTCTTTACTCCTCAATTCTCTATCTGTTTACGTGTTTAATTGTGTACTTGTGGTATCTTCCTGATGAACTTACAGCAAGACTCACCATGACACTCCCGTTTTTTGCTTTCCCATTTATGTAAGTAAATTGTCTTTTTGTTGACCTTTCATCTTTCTTACCAGATAATTTTATTATATTCATTCTTTTTTATTAGAAAAAAGCAATGTCTCAGATTGAATAAATTTGCTTTGTTTTTGCAGTTTGAAAAATATTTCTTTAAAAAAGTAAAATGCTGTTTTAAACCTTTATTTACAAACCAACATACCTGAGGAATGTGACCTTGTTACATTAGTAATAATGGCTTTATATTGGCAGTCTTTTGTAATTCTCTAACAGATGGTCATGCTTCCCGAGGTGTACTGAGCATGGAGTGGGCATTTCAGACTGTGGGTAGAGGCAAATAAGGGAGGATTTGTAAAACAGAAAGAACAACAGCCCCAGTGATTCTGAATATATTCCATTCATCCTACCTTTTCCCCTGTCGTCCCCTCTTTTTAATCACTGTTATTGGCCTGCAATAGCTGGTATCACCCAGTGGATTGAGCACTGGCCTGTGAACTAAAAGGGTGCTGGTGTGAATCTCAGCTAGGGCACCTGCCTGGGTTGTGAGCTAGGTCCCCAGTTAGGGTTGTCGTGTCTCTCCCTCTCTTTCTCCTTCCCTTCTCCTCTCTCTAAAAGTAAGTAAATAAAATATTTTTTAAAAAAGCAATTGGCCCTTAAAATAAAAATATTTTATAATATTGTACATTACAGAGAGTGTGTTGTGATTGAGAATTTTGAGAGATAATTGAAGAAAAAATTTGTCCATTCAATTAACAAACCTTTATGGGTACCAATTGCATAGACATTGGATTATAATGCTTTATGGTATGCAAAAATACAAAATTTCTGACTGTAGATCTTAGACTGCATACATTGAATTAAGTGATAAGTATGGTGAATATTATGAAAGAGAAGTATAAATGCTATAGGAGCATTTAACAGGGGTCCTCACACAGTCTGGGGTGGAGGTAGGGGTCAGGAAAGGGCCTTTGCATTCATTTTCTGTTGCCACAAATTTACTGGCTTAAACCAACACCCATTTCTTATATGACAGTTGTGAAGGTCAGAAACTAGTCAAATGGCTTGACTGGTTTCTCTGTGCAGGGCCTTACAGGTCTAAATCAAGGTTATCAGCTGGTGTGGAGTCCTATCTGGAATCTCTGTGGGGAGAATCTTCTTAGAGACTCAATCAGGTTATTGGCCAACTTCTTATTTTTTATTTTGTTAAACTTTATTGCATTTTCCCCATACTTTTTAGTTCTCTTAAACCAGCCCTCCCTCCCAGCAATCACCACCACACTGTTGTCCATGTCCATGAGTCCTTTTTCTTTTTTGCTGCATCCCTTCATCCCCTAACGCCCCCCCCCCCAAGCTGTCATCCTGCTCTCCATCTATGAGTCTGTCCCCATTTTCTAGGTTACTTTGAGTGTTCATTAGATTGTGCATATGAGTGAAATCATATTCTGAGGCATCTCTCTGACTTCCTGTTCTGTTCTTGGGCCTATTCTACTCTTGGGCTTTTAAGGGTTTAACAGATTATATTAGGCCCACTAGGATAATCTATTTTAAAATCACCTGAGTAATAATTGTATCTGCAAAATTCCTTCATAGCAGTAGACTACTATTTGATTGTATAACCAGAGGATACAAATCTTGGGGAAGGAGAGGGCTCTCTTTAGTATTCTGCCTACTACAGACTCCCCAAGGAAGTGACGTTTGAGTTTGAGACCCAAAGGATGAGTATGTGTATTAAGGGTTGTGTGACATGGTGGATGGTGTTTCAGGCAGAAGGAACAGCATATTTGAAAGCCCTGAGGGAGGATAGAGCATGGCAGATTTAAAGAATTGAAAGAAGGCTGAAGAATGAGTTACAGAGACAAGTCTAGGTAATCAGGCAAGAGATATTTCTTGTGGACCTTTTAGTTCAAGATAAAGATTTTAGACTTTAATCTAAGAGTGGTGGAAAGCCACTGAAGATCTTAAAGAAGGAATATGACATGATTATAGTGTTATTGTAAAGATACCATTGAGGCTGTGGTATGGAGAATAAATTAGAGGGGAATAAGAATGGATCTGGAGCAGCAAGCTAAAACGTTGTTCTAGTTGTCTAGGGGAGATATGATTCATGGTGATTTACACTTGAGTGCTGGTAGCAGGGAAGAGAAACAATGATGGATTGAAGAGATTTAGGAGGTAAACATGAGGTTCTTGGTGGTTAGTTGGATGTGGGGTGTGGGGGAAGAATTGGATCAAAGATAAAATTCAACTTCATAGCTTGGGAAATGTTGCTGATGGGACTGTCATCTAAAGAGTGAACAACCTCCGGAGGAGTAGATTTGGTGACCCGCTGAGACTAAAATACCTGAGTTTGCATTAGAGAACTGCCCGGGTAAAGCTGCACAGTGGGATGGTTAAGTATGAGTATGAAGCCCAGGAGAAAGGTTTGAAGAGGGGGTATAAATTTAGGATTTGGCAGCCTACAAATATTAAAGCCATTATCTGTTTTTTAAAAAAAGTATTTTATTTATTTATTTTTAGAGAGAGGGGAAGGGAGGGAGAAAGAGAAACATGAATGTGTGGTTGCCTCTCAGGTGACCCCCACTGGGGACCAGGCCTGCAACCCAGGCATGTGCCCTGACCGGGAATTGAACTGGTGACCCTTTGGTTTGCAGCCCATGCTCAATCCACTGAGCTACACCAGCCAGGCCCCATCCTCTGTTTTTTCAGTAAATATTGGCACTTGGAATCTGTTTGAGTAGTTGGCTAGATACTAGTGATTAAGAAGTAGTGACAAGGTTTGTGCCCTCATGGAGCTTCATTCTGTTGCAGTTGGACAGACAAAAAATGAAGAGACAAACAAACATAGGTAATTTAGAGAGAGATAAGTGCAATGAAGAAAGTAAACAAGTGATGTGAGAAAGAGGAATAGCTACTTTAGGTTGGTCCTGGAAGGTCTCTTGAGGCGGTAGAATCTGAATTGAGAACTAAAGTATGAGAAAGAGGCAGCATGGAAAGAGTTGGAACTTATGGAATGTTATTTATAGATAGAGTATATAATAGCACACATATCCATAGAGAGATGTGGGAAAGGATTGTCCTCAAATTATTAATGGTAATTCTCTAGATGGTTGGTGGAAAGTGGTGTTTTTTCATATACTTTTGGTATTTGAATATTTGATATCAGTGTGTTCAAGTCCTAAAAGCAAAACCAATATTTAAGAGTTGAGAGATCTTTCCAAGAAGAGAGAACAGAAAAATACAAAAGCTGTAAAGTAGGAGAGAGCATGACATATTTGAGGGTCAAAAGATAGATATATCTGGATTGTGTAGTGGAGAGGAAGAGTGATACAAAGCGAGCTTGCAGAATCTGGTAGGATCTGAATCATGGAGAATCACGGAGAGAAGTTTGAATTTAATTGTGGGTGAAATGGGAAGCTCATAAAGGTTTAGTGGAAGAGAGGCATGGGATTTAAGTTAAAAGGATCATGTGTGCAGCTGTGTAGAGACTAAGAGGAGGACAAGAGAGAAATGGGGAGGAGGCTGTTGTAGAAGTTTGATCCAAAGATGGAAGATAGGTTGGATTGCCCCAGTGGCAGTGAAGATGAGCAGGTAACTTGTAAATGTTTTTGAAGTAAAATGGAGACAACTTGGTGGGAGGAAATAAGAGATAAGGGAAAAGGAGGAATCTTGGTGATACTGAGCTTCTTTTTCTTATTTTCCTTTTATGTTTTCATAAACAGGGGGAGAAAAGAAATTTAGAAAGGGAATTAACATTACTCATTTTAATTATACCCACAAGTTGTAATCTACTGGATCTGCTATTATGATTCAGAAGACATTTTTTAGGGAAGGGTCAAATAAATCATATACTAATTATTTTTAAAGATAGAAAAGCTTCAGTTCTTTAAAAATGTTTGTTTCTAGTTTGATCTTTCTACTATTTTGAGTATGAAGTTTTATTATTCGTCCTGTGTCCTTTGCCTGTTCTGCATCCTCTGCATCTAGGATTTCTTGCTTTGTTAAACTTCAGAGCCATTTCTCACTTTGTCTCATTCACATCTGTGACCTGGTTCTCAGCTGCTGCAGCTTCTATTTCAGTGCGGTTTTCACTTTTGGAAGCATAGACCAGTTACCAACAAAGAATAGAATTGTCCTTCTGATTGATGACCATCAAAAAAGCATGAAATAAAATACAATGTGAAAGTGGATGTTGTAGATAGAAGGAAGACTTACTAAAGGACATTTTTTGTGTGTGTGTAATGTGAGTTATCACCCAAACTTATTATCCCTGGGCTTTTTTCTTGTGGAAGTAAAAGTTTTGAGGTCTGGATCAGGGTTTAGTTAAAGAAGTGGAGGTAGAAGGGGCAATCGAGTGTACTGTTTTGTGTGTCACTATCTACATGGATTGCAAAGCTTAGAAATCTACCCAATACTCACAAAAAAGTGACTGCTATCTTTGCAGTTTAAGTTTCCAAATGCTTTTACTGGACAGAAAGGTCATGGATTCAGGGGTAAGAATCTATAGCATAATCATCACTATTCCAAAATTTTCTTTTATGATAGATCATCCATACATACATTAAGATGCTTTGAGATTTTATTATATCTTCTTTTCAGGATGTAATATGGAGGAACTTGCTGTGATTCCAGTCTATTGTTTTTCTGCCTTTTAGATTCAATAAAACATGTGTCTCTAATCTTTTAAGTCTTGTGAAACTGAAATTGTAAGTGCTGAATTTATTTCATAGGAGTCATTAAAGCTATGCTTAGAGAGGGTAGATATGGATTACAGTTAATTTTTAAAAAAATTTCTGCATGGTGTTAGCAGACATACATTATTGATAGTTGGTTCATTTTCTAAGAATGAACAACCATTAAGCTTTGTCTCTACCTCAATGGACTCTATAAGCAATCTTATTTATAGACTTTTATTTCTGGATACTTTATTCTTATAGATTTTAACTTTCTAGAAGTTGCATTCACTGTAAGATCCTTTCAGAGACCAATTAGCATAAAATGTTGATTTTCCCAGAAGGTTATTTTCCTTCTCTGTTTTTTTTTAAATTTTGCCTCATAAATTGCCTTATGGGGAAAATTTTTAAGCAAAAGAACTGAGGAAGGTGGTCCTGTCCCTATTTTTTAAGTTTTCGTGGTTTCCCACTACAGCATTTTTCAACCATACTCATCTCATAGCGCACATAGACTAATTAATAAATTCTAGCCCTACCTGTTGGCCCAGTTGGTTAGGCATTGTCCCACAGGACGAGGGGTCACCAGTTCAATTCCCAATTCAAACATGTCTGGGTTGTGGGTTCTGTCTCTGATCTGGGTACATGCCAGGAGGCGCTGATTAAAAAATAGGTATAATTTTGATTCATTCACACCAGATGGCCATTGTTGTGTTGGCTGTTGTCATTTTTTTATTTGACAATTGAAGGGAAAAGAGGTCAGTGCTCCTGACTAAAATAGTCAGGTACTGCATGTTTTAAAAATTCTTGTGGCATATTAGTGTGCTGTGGCACAGGGGTGGAAAATTGCTGTTCTACTAAATTGACACTCATTTGAAGATAGGATTTTGCTGTTACATAGTTTTTATATCTCCTTTATACTCCTCCTCCTCCTCCCAGCTAGCTGGTAACATATTTTCTCATTCCTGCCAAAAGTTTGGCAAACATAACTTGTAGCTTTTTGAGAAAAGTTAAACATTTGTTTCATGGCACTCTAATAAGAATACAAAGTATCTCTCAACAACTTGGTTCTTAAAGAAGAAGGCATTTGTGAACATTGCCTGATATTTATTCAAGGAAAATACAATTGACCCTTGAACAACATGGGGGTTTGGGGCAATAACTCCACCCCTTCCATGCAGTCAAAAATCTATATATAGCTTTGATTCCCTAAAGTCTTACCTACTAATAGCCTACTGTTGCCCAGAAGCCTTACCAATAACATAAAAAATTGATTAATTAATACATATTTTGTATGCTGTATGTATAATATTATATACTGTATTCTTAAAGTGAGCTAGAGAAAAGAAAATGTTATTAAGAAAATCTTAGGGAATATACATTTATTGAAAAAAATTTACATATGAGTATACCCACACAGTTCAGACCTGTGTTGTTCAAGGGTCAACTGTATTTACTTTGGTAGTTCAGAAAATCATTTTGCATGTATTTCTTTTGTAATATTGATAAATACTTGAATATCGATAGATACTCACTTGATAGAATTTTGTTCTTAAAGAATTATGTACTGAGACTTAATTAAGAGACATATCTTATTCTTTAAAAATTTTTTAAAACTATTTTATTTTATTTTTAGACAGAGGGAAAGCAAGGGAGAGAGAGAGGGAGAGAAACATTAATGTGTGGTTGCCTTTCACATGCCCCCAACTGAGGACCTAGCCTGCAACCCAGACATGCTCCCTGACTGAGAATCCAACCAGCAACCCTTTGGTTTGCAGGCTGGCACTCAATCCACTGAGCCACATCAGCCAGGGCAAGAGACACATTTTATTCTTGAATGAGAAGACTCAATATTGAAATGAGATCCATTCTCCCTAAATTAAAAAAATGTGTGATCATAATAAAAATACCAGCATACCTTAAAAATTTTGGCACACATTTATATTTTTAATAGAAAAATAAGCACATAAGAATAGTCTTGAAAATTCAAAAAAGGAGAAAAATAAAAAGGAGAGGTCTACCAGGCATCAAATGTATTATAAAACTTTATTAATTAAAATTTTGGTACAGTGTACAGAGAAAACAGACCAAAGAAAGAGACACAATTCAGAAATAAATCCCAGTGAGAATTTTTATGTGTGATTTTTATATTAATATATGATAGATGTGATATTTCAAATCATTGGGAGAAAATGGTGTTGAGTTTCACTGAAAAATAGATGAAAATAAAATGTATTTTTATTAAAGCTTAATTCCTGCCTTATTCGTTATACCTAAATAAATCATTGGGTTTTTTTTTTTGTCTGATTGTGAAGGTTATTCTTTCTAAAACAGGATAGTTAAATAGACAAAATAGTCGATATAATTATAAATATTGGGACCTATGTATCTTTTCATTTTTAGTTTTATATAGTATTTAAATCTCATCTAAAAACATTTCAGTAAATTGGAAAGGGCTTATGTGGTTTGGCAGAAAAGGTTTAGGTTTGGCAGAAAGAATGAATGATTTTTCTCTCTTTAAGCTTTGCCTTCTCTGTGTCATTGCTGGAACCAAACTGAGAAGTTTCTGCCTATAGCATGCGTATCTTATTTTTATTGTTATGAACAGGGGTTTTAGGCTTCACACTTTGAGAAGTTAGTCTTGCTACCTTTGTGAGATAAGCAGTTTTCCTTCTCTGCTTCTATTCTTCTGAGCCCCTGCATGATATCCATTGCTTTTGGCAGCCCTTTCTCATATTTTGAGGGTTGGGTTTTAGCTATACCTTAATTTTACCAGAAAAGAAATGTGTCTTTGTTCTCATTGTTGTTTGAATTATTTCTAAGAAGAGGGGGAGAAATGTTGATTATGTTACTATTTTCAAAGTAGGAGTCATAAAGTATCTTTAATATCTTCAAAGAATATGTTACCACATTTTTCATAAGTTATATTTATTCATAGAGAAAAATGTTTATTGGATAACTAAAACATAGATTCCTGAAGTACTTTAATTCTTTTTTAAATTTTATTTTAAAAATACCCAAGAATTTAATTTGGCCTTAAAGAATCACTTATATGTTGTACCTTTTCAAATCTTGAAGACTTGACATATGGAAATTTGGTAAGCTCATTTTCTCTTCCACTAGTTCTGATAAAAACCAAAAGGAATTTATTGTTCACCTAGGGGGATTAATAAGTTTTATTTTGAACTAAGGGAGTCTGTTTCAATTCTTGTAGTTTTCACGCTTTGAAAAGTACATATGCTTTTAAAAAAGTATCTGCTCATTTCAGAAAATGCACTGATTTCTTACAGAATTCCAATCATTATCTCTGCAGTCCTTTCTCTGTGTTCTGTTTTCTTTCCCTGTACTTTTTTTTCTAACTAAATCATCTCTCTCAGCTTGCCATTGTTTCAGTGTGTTTGAAGTGGAGGAATATTATGGTACTTTTCTACTGTTGTAGGATCCTTGAGGGTTATGAGCAGTATGCTTAAACTCTTCTTTTCTCTTTCTTTTTTTGATAAGGACAATGCTCAGGGTTTTTTTTGTTGTTGTTTGTTTTTCTTTTTTCAAATTATTGTGTAGATAGTCGTCCAAGTATTATGTGGAAATTCGGTGCTGGTTATAGTGTTCAGATCATAAAAACAAATTATAACAATATAAAAAGCGTGTACTAGTTATCTATTGCTGTATAACAAATTGTCTAGATTTAGTAGCCTAAATCAACAAATGTTTATTATCACTTGCAGTTCTTGAGAGGCAGCTTAGTTGGGTGGTTCTGGCTCAGGATCTTTTATTCATATGAAGGGTGTATAAATTTCAGTTAATCTGTTGTCTGGGGCTATAATCATCTCAAGGCTTAACCAAGACTGGGGAATTTACTTTTATCCTCACACATGTAGTTGTGGGCAGGCTTCAGCTCCTCACTGGTTGTTTGCCAGAGATCTCTGTTCCTCACCACATGGGCATTTCTGTAGAGTCCCCTGAATGTCCTCATGTCATAGCACCTGGCTTCTCTTAGAATGAGTAATCCAAGAGAGAGAAAGATAGTGGAAGAGGAGGCCCAAGATGGAAGCTGTAGTCTTTTATAACCTAATCTTGTTGTGACATACTCTCTCTTCTGCCGTACGCTATTGGTCACACAGATTAACTCTGGCGAGCAAGGACTTACACAAAGATGTAAATGCCAGGATACATGGTTCATTTGCAACCACCTTTCAGGCTGAAGAATAGCAATGATATTTTAGAGTAATGAACTGAGTTTCATACTTACCTAAATTTATATTCAGAAGGGAAGGGTAGTCAAGGAACGTGTATAAAGGACCCATGGACAAAGCCAAAGGGTGGGTAGGACTGAGTGTGGGAAGTGGAGGGTGGGTGGGTGGGGTGAAGGAGAGTGGTGGTGGGGAAATGGTGACAACTGTAATTGAACAGCAATAAAAAAAGAACAAAAATGATATTCAGATACAAGGTATTTCTTTTATAAAACGATGAATAATGTTTCTATACTTATTCTGCCATGTCCTATGAAGAAAGAGGTATTTTGCTATATTACATTAAATTTAGAAGATGACCTCAACAATCTTGTGATTAGGGTCATTCTTTGATTTTCTTTTAAATTCTTTTACTATTATTTACAGTCTTACTAATGCAAGGTTTAAACAATTATTATCATAAAGTCTTGGAAGGAAGTATTTAGCTAAATTAACTTATCAATGTTTTTTCAAAGTTAAATTTCTTTCCCCCTCCAGATAGTTTATTCTATTTAGTAGAGAAGATCCCTCCAATATTAAATGATAGGGAAGGAGTACCAACTTACATTCCTATAATGCTCCCGGTTTTGAAAACATGCTTTTCCCTACATACATGGGAATAGATACATTTTTGGAGTTGATGCTTATTTAGTAAGAAGGGACTCTAAAATTTGTTCCTAATATTTTGTGGGGTTAATAGACTCCTTTGAGAATAATGAAAGCAGTGGTGTCTCCAGAGAAATGCATTTATGTACACAAAGGCACTTTTGTAATTAAGAGGACCCTCAGAAGGTTCATGGATTTCATTTATTATTATTATTTTAATTTAATTATTGTTCAAGTACAGTTTTCTGTTTTTTACTTCCACCCCAGCCCACCCCCTCCAGTGCTCATGGATTTTAGATTGAGAACTTCTCCTTTGAAAGCACAGGTAGACTTCTGATTGTCTCTGAAAGAAAGGAATACTTTTTGGTTTTTAACATATCAAAGGAAACAATGGACCTAACTCTAGTTGGAAATGTGTATTTGTTTTCATTTTATATGGCTTCTAATTTACATATCCTAATGACGTTTTTTTGTTTCTGAATTTTGCCTCCTCTAGCATCTGGAGCATAAGAATAGTGCTTATTTACTTCTTTTCCAAGAGAACAGAAAGAAATAGTAAGTTTAACTTCTAAGTTTTTATAAATGCATTAGAAAACTCATAGTGTATTAGTTTCTAATGAAATCATAGGTTGTGAAATGGTATATTGCAATGACAGTGTGGTAAATATTGAAGAGTTGTTTACTGTGAAGTATTAGAAAAGTTATAACCCTGGACAAGGTAGCGAAGTTGGTTAAGAGTGTCGTGCTGATCTGCCAAGGTTGTTGTGGGTTCGATTCCCTGTCAGCACACATACAGGAATCAACTAATGAATGCACAAATAAGTGGAACAACAAATTTGATATTTCTGTCTCTCTCCCCCCTCCCCTTCTCTAAAATAAAAAAATTGAAAAACAAAGGATGAACTCTTTAAAAAAAAAGAAAGGTCATGAATAATCAAGATGGTTCTATTTTTTCTTGTGTTGCCTTGTTCATTTAGAATTTTTATTTACACAAAGCAAAATAATTCATTTCCTTAAGTCAAGAGAAATTATATTTGTTAAATTTATCTTATAGAAAACTTACATTATTATGGAATAAAATGGTTATGCAGCTTTTGATTTATTTTATTAATTACATCTTTCTCTTTAACCTTATAGTACACAGGCTTTTTTGTGTGTATTGAAATATGCAAATTATGATAAAATAAATTTATATATGTATAGATTTTAAGCATTTTCAGGCCTTAAAACTATGAGCTATAATTAACCAAAGATAAATTTAATTTTTAATAAAATTTCTATGTGACTTATTTTTTCTTGTTTTAACTGTTCATTGTAGAAAATTTCAGATAAGTAGGCTGAATAATGTAATGAACCCTCATGTACTATCATACAACCTAAACAGTCTTTAACTCATGGTCAGTCTTGTTTCATTTTCACTGCTCCCTACTTATGTACCTTCTGTATTACTATTCTAAGGTATATCCCAAATATATCTATCCATAACAGACTTTAAAATATTAATACAACAGTTATAACAGCTAAAAAAGAATTTAAAAAACATCCTGAGGTTAACAGTGGTTAATAACATTATGTAAGTTTCAGGTATAAAACATTATAATTCAGTATCTGTATACATTATAGTGTGCTCACTACCAATAGTCTAGTTTCTATCCGTCATCATGTATTCGATCCTTTCCCTATCCGTTCTCCTCTAGAAACCTCCCATCTATTGTCTGTATCTATGAGGGCTTCTTTTTTCTTTTGTTTGTTATTTGTTTCTTTAAAAAGAATTCTTAATATTGTAAAATATTAAATATAAAAGCATTAAATTTCCAGTTATCTCATAAATATCACTTTCTTTAAAAATATTTTGTTTGTTTGATTCAGGGGCCAAAGAAGGATCATACAGGTATATGACTTTCAAATTGCCCTGCTTGCTCGTGATTTGAACTCGGTTTAGGTTCTGTGCTCTAGCCCAATGACCATACCTCGCAGACTCTCTTAAATTCTTTGCCCTCTTTCCCAGTCCACTTGCCTGGCAAACCATGCCTTGTTTAAATATATTATACGCTTAGTCATTGACTGGTAAAACCCTATCTTGGTTAAAAACATTTATGTGCTTAATGTATACCTGCAAAAAGAAGGCTGAATTTGGTAGAGGAAAATCATACAATGTGTTGACCAGACTTATTTTAAAATATCTATGATTGCAAACACTGAACATATATTCAACACTGCCATGCAGTCCCATTTTATAGTTCTTTAGTACATTCACCTTTTTCTCTTTGAAAGCATTGTTTGAGATTTTATTTCTCCTCAAATTACTAATACCCACCTCCCTACCAGAACCCCCAAACCAAACCAAAACCCAACAAATTAACAAACTAATCAACCAAATAAGAATTCAAAAGCCACAAACAAACAAAACCCCACAAAAATCTACTTGGCCAATCTCACCTGCTATAGTTTCACTTTATGAAGAAAGTAGATGTACACAGACAGATGCCAGCTACCTCTGCCACCAAATACTCTTGTATATCATGTTAGCTCCGTCTGTTATTCAGCATGTTGTTGTCCTTCGTGGTGTTCTGGAAAAATGACTTTGATCCCATCTGTGGCTAAGCCCTTCATTTATGCCCTGTATTCTATATACTCTGGCCATCTCAAGAACTTTACTCTTGTAGTTATCCCTTCCAGGAGTTACCCCTTAATATTTATCATCTGTTTCTGTTGAATTTTCCCTATTGGCATATAATCCTGCCTCAGCATAATCGTCTGGGATGGGATGGGGGGTACATATCCCGACTCCATATTCCCTTTAATCTAATATACAATTCTCTCTCCTTCCCCAAATCCTGTCATCTTTACCTCTAAAATTATCTTAAATCTTCCCACTGCTAACCTTTACTACTACTACAGTTGTAATTCAGGTCATCATCATTTCTTGCTTGTACTACTGCAATAGCTTCATAACCAGTCTATTTTTGAGGTATAAATCAGATCTTGTGTCTCTTCTGCTTAAAATTTCTAGTGGCTTCTTATTGCAACCAGAGTAAAATCTTAATTTTTAACCCAACTCTCTGGCTTATGCCATTTCTCTAACTTTATTTCCTTTCATTCTTCTTTTTTCATCTTTTGCTCTAGCCATACTGGTCATCTTTTTGTCCTACAAATAAATTTAAATTCTCTGAACTTCAGTTTCCTAATTTATAAAATGGAAACAAATATTCATTTTTGTAGGAATATTGCCAAGTATTGAACAAAACTACATGTAAAAGCATATAAACACTGCTAAGTGTTATACACATGTGGTCTGATGGTACTAATTTTTCTTTTTCAATCCTTATTCTTTTAAAATTTTTCTTGCCTTAGTTAATGGGTTAGGACCTAGTAGTATAATATTGAATTCAAGTAGCGATGGCGGGTATCTTTGTCTAGTTCCTGATTAACCATTAAGTAGTATATTTGATATGGTTTTAAAAAATATTGATACTTTAAAAAAAACCAGATTAAGGAAATTAAGTTTATGGCATTGTTTCCTAGTGATATTTAGTAATATAGTAGCTTCTGGGAGAATAGTAAGAAGTTTAAAATGAAATGTGCTCTTTGACCTCATGGAACTAACAAAATAGTGAAAAATACAAGAAACCTCACTGTAAAAGAGTCCTTGGAAACACTTTTCTGAGGAAATCAAATGTGTGAATTTTTTTTTATTAAATGAAATTTTCTGTCATCAGATGTTGATTTGGCATATATGCTTTTTTCCCTCCTTCATATGTATATTTTAACTAACAAATAGGCACATCAGGACATGGTTTTGTTTGAAGAATTGATTTGTGAGTTCTGGCTGGTGTGGCTCAGTTGGTTGGAGTGTTACCCATAACTGAAAGGTTGCAGGTTTGATTTCTGTAAGGGCACATGCCTCGGTTGTAGGTTTGATCCCTGGTCTTGGGCGGGGGGGTGTGGGTGGCACCCTGTCACTGTTTCTCTCTCACACTGATTGATGTCTCTCTCGCTCTCCCTATCTCTTTTCCCCTCTCTCTAAAAACAATGAAAAAATATGTCCTCAGGGAGGATTAAAAATAAAATAAAAATTTATTTTTAAAATTTACTAATTCATTTGAATGAATATTGCATGTACATTTAAAACGGACTTCATAAAAGATTGCCTTGTAGTCTTACACATTTTTTTTTTTAGTATTAAGTCAGGCTATATATATACATATGTACATCCTGAAGCTGTTTGTCATATTCTTGTATTTTGTTCTCTATTGCTTTTCTTTCCTTTGCTTTACAAATTAGACTTAGTACATATTAAGTTAACGGTTGGAAAACTACAGCCTGGGAGCCAAGTCCTGCCCACGACCTTGTATAGCTCATGATCTAGGAATGGTTTTTACATTTTTAAATCATTGAAAAAACTTAAAAAGAATAATATTTTGTGACATGTTAAATTTGAATGGAATTCAGATTTCTGTTTTTATTACAACGCAGCCATGCCCCTTCATTTATGCTTTGTATATGGCTGCTTTTATCCCACAATGGCAGAATTGAGTAGTCGTGACAGACTGTATGTGGTGCGCTCAATACTGCAGACTGTTGGCAGCATGTGTGACGAAGCACAGTGATATAGTTATAATTTGATAGCATTGCAAGTGCCAACTGTATTTCTGTATTGCGACAATTTTATTTTTTGTAACCAGTGCACACTCATCATGTAAAAACGAGAAAAGAAAATTGGACTTTGAATGTTGAACTTTTAGGGCACAATGGAGTGTCAACAGTATTAACAAAATGCAAAGCATCATGTTTATTGTGCAATGACATTATAACTCTACTAAAAGAATACAAATATACATTGACATTACTATGCTAAGTACTCAGCATGATATTCCCAACTCACAGAAAAGCAATGGTCAGAAAATTAGAACATTTAATATGGAATATCTCATCATAGCAAATTTTTTCATAAAAATAAAAAGTGAAAATTGAACTTCAACCAAAGTAAGTTACTGAGTGGCTTATTTGTGAAGTAAAGAAAGCCACTTACCAACAGTGAATTAATTGAATTGCATTTGATTGTCATAGCTGAAGAAATCTGTTCAGAGAAAATATATTTGTTTGACTAGTAATCTTTGACAAGAACAATTACTTGAAGGACTGAGAACATTGGAAGCAACATAGTCAATTTAAAAGCAAGGCAAGTGATTCCTTGAGTTACCAGATGTTACAGATACCACTCAGTTGTAGTTTATTTGAGGAGTCAATACTGAGCTTGAGGTGACTGAAGGGTTAGCCTCTGAAAAGTCTGTGTACAGCAACTTCAGGAGAGAATATTTTTGAACTTGGAAAAAGCCCCACTAATTCAGTACAACTTGAAGTGGAATCTGCTAAGATGTAACTGTTGGTAGTAAAAATATGTGTGAACATAAACAGGCTTAGTTGGATTAATTTATAAAACTCATGGAACTCTCAGGGATGTCCAGCCTGTGGCCCACAGACTGCATGCAGCTCAGGATGGCTGTGATTGCGGCCCAACACAAAATCGTAAACTTACTTAAAACATTATGAGATTTTTTTGTGTGATAACATGTTGCAGTATATTTACTGTGTGGCCCAAGACGACTCTTCTTCCAATGTGGTGCGGAGACACCAAAAGGTTAGACACCCCTGCAAAGTGTTTAAATTCTATGAGATTATGAGATTCACTGTGTTATTAACTAGCAAGCACTTTGCAGAGCATATTTGAACTGGCAGTGTCAATGGGGAGCTTCATTTGCTCTTATAGACTTAACCATCATCAGTTATGTGAACGTTTATCAGAAGTGATATTTTGAACTTAGAGCCCAGACTGAAGTTTTGTTGAGAAGAAACAAACCACTGTCTGTGATTGAACATTGACTGGCTTTGGAAATTAGCTTTTGATGCAAACTTCATAATGGTTCTTAATGAATTTAACCTAAAATTGCAAGACAGAACAATCCTATATGTGAAATCTGTATTGTCATAAAGTCATTTAGAAAACAACAGCATAATTGCAAAAAATAATTTTTAGAAAAATGCTATGAGAAGTTAAAACAAGAAGCAAGATCTTCATTCAACACAAATTGGAAGCAGATATGTCACTTGAGCTCAAACTACAGTTGAGACAGTTTTATCCAGAGCTCCCACAAGTGTAAAGTAAATTTCCATATTTCAAATTCTAGGTAACTATACAACAGAGTAGCTTCCACTAATCTTCAATTAGAAGTGATTAATTTGCGATGAATGAAATAATAAAAGGCAAATATCAAGAGGAAAATCTAAAGAATTCTATAAATGCCTTCTAAATTAAAATAATTTAATTTTAAATAAAATAATTAATTAAACTGCTCAATTAAAATAATTTAATTTTAGTATTTAGCAGTACCTATCTGTGTGGAAAAACATTTTCAAGAATCAAATGTGTAAAATCGCAGTACAGATCAGCATTAATAGATTAAAATTTGCAATCAATTTGATGATAGGAAACACTAACTTTGAATCTCAACTACGTGAAATGTTACTTCCCCACTACAAATGCCTTCACTCTTTTAGTTGGTAAATCCATTACAAAAAATTGAGCTCAGTTATTTCTATATTTGAATTTGTCAGTAAAAATTTGTAGAAATTTATCTTTTGCTTTACAAATACCTACTTGATTTTGATTTTGCCTTTTGGTTCATAAAGGCTAAAATATTTATGGTGTATTCTTTAACAGAAAAAGTTCATTGACCTCTGGATGAAAAGTTAGTGGCTTTGTCTTATCTGAATAAGATGACTGTTCTCTTTAAAATTTTAAATGAGCAGATTTTCCTCTCTTTAGAAAGAAGTCTGCTAGCTTATTAAAGACTCCTTAATATATATTGAAAAATATTTTATATTAAAGTCCTTTTTTCTATACATTTGTATGTTTTTGGACTTTTACACAAATAATATATATATATATTTTAAGATTTTATTTATTTATCTTTAGAGGGGAAGGGAAGGAGAGAGGGATAGAAATATCAATGTATGGTTGCTTCTCATGTGTCTCCTGCTGGGAACTGACCTGCAACCCAGGCATGTGCCCTGACTGGGAATCGAACGGCGACCCCGCCCTCAATCCACTGTGCTACACCAGCCAGAGCCACAAATAATATATTTTGAGTTGGATATTCAGATGTTTGCTATCCCACAACTTCAATGAAAATATTTTATTTATAAATTGAATTAAAGATTAAGAATTATTTAAATTCTTTTTTTGATATTTATTTTATTTATTTATTTAATTTTTTTATTGATTATGCTGTTACAGTTGTTCTATTCCCCCCTTCATTCCCCTTCACCCTACCCCCCGTCCCCACCATTACCCCCCCTTTAGTTTATGACCATGTGTCTCAAGTCCTTTAGATTTTATATTTCCCATGCTATTCTTGCTCCCCATCTATTTTCTATCTACTGTCTATGCTACTTATTTTCTGTACCTTCTCCCCCCTTCTCCTCCTCCCACTCCCCTGTTGCTAACCCTCCTTGAGATCTTCATTTCTATGTTTCCACTCCTGATCTAGCTGTCCTTTTAGTTTGCTTTTGTTTTAGGTGTGGTTGTTAATAACTGTGGGTTTGTTGTCCTTTCACTGTTCATGTTTCTTTAACTTCTTTTTCTTAGATAAGTCCCTTTAACATTTCATATAATAAGGGCTTGGTGACGATGAACTCCTTGAATTTGATCTTATCTGAGAAGCACTTTATCTGTCCTTCCATTCTAAATGAAAGTTTTGCCGGATAGAGCAATCTTGGTTGTAGGTCTTTGGTTTTCATGACTTGGAATACCTCTTTCCAGCCCCTTCTTGCTTGTAAGGTCTCTTTTGAGAAATCTGCTGACAGTCTGATGGGGACTCCTTTGTAGGTGGCTGTCCCCTTAGCTCTTGCTGCTTCTAGGATTCTCTCCTTCATTTTAATTTTGGCTAATGTAATTATGATGTGCCTTGGTGTGTTCCTTCTTGGGTCCAACTTCTTTGGGACTCTCTGAGCTTCCTGGATTTCCTGGAAGTCTATTTCCTTTGCCAGATTGGGGAAATTCTTCTTTATTCTTTGTTCAAATAAGTTTTCCACTGGTGGCTGTTCCTTTCCCCTTTCTGGTACCCCTATCATTCGGATGTTGGAGCATTTAAAGATGTCCTGGAGGATCCTAAGCCTCTCCTAATTTTTTTGAATTCTTGTTTCTTCACTCTTTTCTGTTTGGCCATTATTTGCTTTCTTCTGGTCCACTCCATTGATTTGAGTCCCAGTTTCCTTTTCATTGTTATTGGTTTCCTGTGCAATTCCATTCATTTCAATTAGTTTCGCCTTCATATATTTGTCTAATTTGTGGCTATAATCAACCAATTCTGTGAGCATCCTGATCACCAGTGTTTTAAACTGTGCGTCTGAGAGTTTTGCTATTTCTTCATCGCTTAGATTTATAGGCTCTGGGGCTTTGAGATCTTCTTGAGCCATTTTTGGTCTGTTCGCGCCCTTTAAGTGTGAGGAGCGGAGCCTTGGACTCCCAGGTCGCTGGGTTGTGATGCTGTATGTGGGGGCGTGGTCAGCGGGGAAATGGGGGCACCCTCTGCTGTTTCGTGCCGCTGGGTGAGGAGCAGAGGCTTAGGTGATTCACCTGGGCCGGGCCACTCAGAGTCGCTGGGTTATGACGCTGTATGTGGAGGTGGGGGTCAGAGCAGGGAAATGGCAGCGCCCTCCTTGCCGTGGGGACCGGTTGCGTCCCGGTCCAATCACCCACTCCCTCGCTTGTCTATCCGCGCACCAATGCTCGACCACAGTCAACCCGCAGCCCTGCTCCCTCGCTGTTTCCCCGCAGTTGCTCGCTTGGTCGCTCGCTGGGTTGCTCACTAGGTCCAACCCTGCGCCTGGATTGTGCGCCTGAGTCCATCTGACCGAGTCCTCCTGTGCAACCCCGCTCCACCAGCTGCTGGTTTCGCCCCTTACCGGTCAGGCTGAAGAATTTGTTGTTAACAGACTTCCGAAAAGTTCAATTTTCTGTGTTCTGGCTGTGTTTTCTGTTGCTAATATTCAGTTGTCTCTAAACTTGGTTGTGTGAGAAAGCACGGCACATCTACCTATGCCTCCATCTTGGCGGAAGTCCTAAATTCTTTTTGATAAAATGTTTAAATCAAGTTACAACTTTTTTGCAGATATAGTACTACTATTTGTACTAGTTCAATATTTTTATATAAAAACTGGAAACCTAAAATATATTTGTAAAGCAGACAATGACATTCATAAGTTATATTGTTTTGAATTGATTCTTCACCATGACAATCTAAATAAGTAGATAAATCTTAGAAAAGTTTAATTCTGAAAAGTGCTTAGTATTCTCTTCCTTTCCAAGTTCCTCCTCAGGTATACTATAAATTTTCAAAAGATTTTCTTTATTGGTGCTCAATATGTTGAAGGTTGAGTAAGTTAATAAAATATATTATGCACTTATTTCCTTATAGACAAAGAAAACATTTTTATTACTAATATATAAAATACTGGGTATTAATTTTGAAAATTTGAGCAGGGTGTTGAAAGGAATAAGAAATAATAATGTTTCTGAGAACATTTTAAATATATATATTTTTTAAACTTGGAAAGGTATTGTAGTCTGTGTTAAGGCAATTTTTTTCTCTTAGATTGTAATATATAGGCAAAAATATGAAATATATAGGTAAAGATTGAGATAATTTTTATCTGTACAGATTGGTGAGAAATACTAAAGTAAAAAAGTTTTCTTATGGTTGGTTAATGTGAGTATCATTTGGCATTTTTTTCTTGTATCTAAGTGTCTTAATATCTGACATCTTGTTTAAATCTTGTTTTCCAGATGAGGCGTTGGATGATTTAAAATCCCAGAAGAAAAAAATAGTAAGTTAACTTTTATTTAAAATTAATTTATGTAAAACTAATAAATTAAGAACTGAAAATTAATGTTTATATGTTGTAAGTAATGACTGTCTAGAAACAAATATGCTTTTACACAGCATTTAAATGATGAAGCTAACTTATAGTATTTTTGCTAGTTAATGATTGACAGACAGGAAAAAAGTAGTTCAGTGGATTTTTGAGATTCTCAGAATCTATGTCAGTTGGAAGCTGAGAAGTAAGTTAATGAATCATTGGAGGACTAAATAAGACAGAGTCACAAAAAGATGGGTGTCCAAATTGATTATTAAGTAGGCTCAAAACAGGACCAAACATTTACTTATGTCAGTTCTCCGGGTTTCTTGACATGATAAAGCTAGGAGAGAGGGAATCAAAAAGATTGGTAGTAAAAGACAAATTTAACATGAAAAGGCTGAAGAAAGGTGGGGAGGAAAGAGAATTTTTTTCTTCATTTTCTATTAGCAGCTCTGGTTACATGGATAACTATTATGGAGCCAGTTAAATGCATCTTTCAGGTGTATGTTGGAAAGAGGGCCATGAGTAAGAGAAAGGGCCCCAGATATTTAGAGGTTGATATATAATAGCTTCTAATAAATGATTTGAACTTGGTTTTTGACTTGAATTTACATGTACAGTTTTGTTACTATTTTTGAAGTATGAAAATTATAATTGATAGCACTATCATGTTATATGGACACTTATTTAATGACATTTAATCAGATGCAAATGATCAATGTATTTTAGTCTAATATGTAATATGTACCAATTATTGTATGAAATTAGTAAAAATGATCATGGTTAAGATCGATGTTAAAAATAGTTCTGTGGGATTTGTGAACAAGATGCAGGTGTAGGTAAAGATGGCTTGCCTCCTCACACAACCATAGCAAAATTACAGGTAAACTACAGAACAACTATCATTCAGAACCCTCAGAAAATTGAGCTGTGGAGAAGTCCGACAACTAAAGAATTAAAGAAACTACATTCATCCAGATGGGTAGGAGGGACAGAGGGATGGAGACACAAGAGATGTAGAATGGGCTGGTCCCAACCCCGTGTGTGGTAGATATAAAAGGAGGGATGTGTTGGAAGTAAGGGATCCCAACCGTACACCAGATCACCCAGCCTATGGTTCCAGTGCCCGGAAGATAAGTCCCCATAACTTCTGGCTTATAAAACAGTGGGAGTTGGGTCAGCAGAAGAAACTGGGATTCTCAGGTGTCTCCTCTTGGAGGGCCCCCCACACGGACTTACTGAGACCCACTCCCTCTGGGCTCTAGCACCGGGGCAGTACCTTGAAGGACGCTAGGGGTTTACAGGGAGGAACTGAAGTGTCTGGCATTAGAGCTAGAGCTGACAGACAGCTTCCTCCTGGACAGAACTGCAGACAGTGGCCATTGTCCCTCCCCCACAAAGAGCCACAGTGCCTCAGCACCATATCTGAGTGTCAATCAACTTGGCTCACATGGTTAGCCCCTTACTGACGATTACCTAAGACTCTGCTTCGTCCAACCCATGGGACCATCCAGGCTGGTAACAATGGCTTTTCCGTGTGAATAGCTGGGCTAGATGCAGGCTTCAGACCTTCCTAAATCCACTCAAACATGCAACAGTTGAGCCCAGGCTCTGTACCTCTTGCTGAGTGGCCCCAGGCGTGGCACTAGCATCAGCCACCTGCAGATTCTTTTATAGCTTATTCCAAGGGGCCCCAGACAGAACACAGTTGGTGGCTGACCTTGGTCTGCACCACCTGGGAAACCCAAGAACCTGCACACCCAGTGAACAATTGCAGACATGTCAGTGCACCACCACCCAACCACCTCCACAAGCTATGGAAGGAGCTGTTTGCTGGCCAGGGTTCACAGCCAGTCCTACCAGCTGTTTAGCCTCGGTAAGTCCCTCCCTTGGCCTGCTCACAGGAATCAAGGCTGAACTACAAGAGAAGGGAGTACTCAGCCCACAAAGAAGGTACACCTCGAGTACCCAGCTTGGGGGATAGGGAGGTGGTGCCACTGGTCCCTACAGGACACCTACTATATTAGGCCATGCTACCAAGACACAGAGTCAAAGCAGCTCTATATAATACATAGAAACAAACACTGGGAGGCTGCCAAAATGAGGAGACAAAAAAAAATGGCCCAAATGAAAGAACAGAAGAAAATACCAAAAAAGTACTAAACAGACTGGAGATAAGCAATCTGTCAGATGCAGAGTTCAAAACACTGGTTATAAGGATGCTCAAGGAACTCAGTGGGTACTTGAACAGCATAAAATGATTCAATCAGAAATGGAGGAGACACTAATTGAAATAAAGAGCACTTTACAGGGAATCAACAGCAGAGCGAATGAAGCCAAGAATCAGATAAATGATTTGGAACATAAGGAAGAAAAAGACATTCAATCAGTACAGCAAAAAGAAGAAAGAATCCAAAAAACTGAGGATAGGATAGGATAAGGAGTCTCTGGGACAGCTTCAAGCATTTGAACATTCACGTCATAGGGGTGTCAGAAGGAGAAGAAAAAGAACAAGAAATTGGAAACCTACTTGAAAGAATAATAAAAGAAAACTTCTTTAATTTGGTGAAGGGAATAGATGTACAAGTTCAGAAAGCACAGAGAATCTCAAACAAGACAGACATAAAGAGGATCACACCAAGACACATCATAATTAAAATGCCAAAGTTTAAAGAGAAAGAGAATCTTAAAAGCAGCATGAGAAGAGCAGATAATTATCTACAAAGGAGATCCCATCAGACTGTCAGCTGATTTCTCAAAAGAAACTTTGCAGGCTAGAAGGGACTGGCAAGAAACGTTCAAAGTGATGAAAAGCAAGGACCTACAACCAAGATTACTCTATCCAGCAAAGCTATCATTTAGAATGGAAGGGCAGATAAGGTGCTTCCCAGACAAGGGAAAGCTAAAGGAATTCAGCATCACCAAGCCATTATTATATGAAATGCTAAAGGGAATTATATAAGGAAAAGAAGTAGGTCAAAACTATGAATGTTAAAATGGCAATAAATTCACAGCTATTAACAATTGAATCCTCTAAAAGACTAAGCAAGCCAGTAGAGCAGAAACACCCAGAGTTATGGAGAACTTTGGGATGGTGTCTAGTGTTCTGGGAGAATGAGGGAAAAGGTACAGGGAGTAACAGTACAAATTGGTAGGTACAGAATAGACAGGGGGATATTAAGAATAGTTTAGGAAAATGGAATAGCCAAAAAACTTGTGTGCTTTACCCATGGACAAGAACAAAGGAGGGAGGATCACCAGAAGGAGTGGGTGGGTGCTGGGTGGAGGGGAGCAAATGGGGAAAAACTGGGACAACTGCAATAGCATAATTAATAAAAGAAAAAAAGTTACTTGTTGAATAGTACTTGGCAATAAAAAAGAATAAACTGTTGAAACATGATAGCTGGGATGAATCTCCAGGGAATTATGCTGAGTGCAAAAAGCTAATCATAAAAGATTACATACTGGTTGATTTCTTTGTATAACACTTCTGAGGTGGCAGAATTATAGAAATGGAGAACAGATTAGTGGTACCGTGGGTTCAGGGTGAAGAGGGAGAGCATGGCATAGGGGTATGAAAGAGCCGTAAGTGGAATCTTTTTGGTCACAGAGTTGTTCTTTATCTTGGCTCTGGTGGATAATTGACCCTACTTATGTAATAACATTTCATAAAACCAAAGACACACCCATGTAGGAGTAAAACTGCGGAAATGAAGGTAAGTGAATTGTATCAAAGTCAATATTTTGGTTTTGATATTGTACCATAGATTTGTAAGATGTTACCATTGAGAGAAACTGAGTACATGAAACTGTTTATTATTCCTTACACATGCATATAAATTTATAATTATCTCAAAATAAAAAGTTTAATTTGAAAAAATAGTTCCATAAATTGGTAATAAAAGACATTGGTCTTGAGTGTTTTAAATACTTGAAAAATAAAGGAACTTTCATTCTGAAGAAATTAGGAATAGATAAAGAAAGGATTCCTTATCTATTTTGTTTTGTTTAAGGCTTCTTTATTGTTCTGTGAGATATTTATCAAAATTGCAGTAACATTATTGATGGCCCTAAATTGAGACAAATATTTCCATTATATTAAATTTCTGACATTCTGCACATTATGGAGCAGCCAGAATTCAAATTGAGGAAACACTTCACTTGTATATGAAATCTAAAGAATATAAACACACAAATAAAACAGAAACAGACTCATAGATACAGAGAACAGGTTGATGTTTGACAGAGGGGAAGAGGGTTAGGAGTCTGAGTGAAAAATACTTTAAGAGAGTCTGTTAGCTTCAGTTTCTCCTTCTGAAGGGATTGAGAAATACAGATTGGTAGTTACAAATTAATCATGTGCTTTTGAAGTGCAGCATAGGGGAATATAGTCAGTAACATTGTAATGACTATGTTTGGTGCCAGGTGGGTATTAGAAATATCAGGGGCAACATTAAAGAATATGATTATCTACCCACTATGCTGTATACCTGAAACTAATACAAAATGATATTGAATGTAAACTGTAATTTGAAAAAAAAATCAAAGTGAGGAAATATTGATGGGTCTCAGTAATAAAGAAGTTGTGATGTGATTGATTTGGTTTGCTATGTTAAAAAGAAGGGCTGGAGTGGTGGTCAGAACCTAGCTCCACATGTACCAAAATGGAGAAAATATTGATTAAAGTAGAAAAGAGAAGGAGAAAGACAAAAGAAGATAAGATATCCTAAGTGATAAGGAAGTTCCAATGTTAGTGTCCCAATGTTAGTGTCATGACATCAACAGAAAATAGAATCTTGGAGAACATGACTGGGGGAAAGCTCTCAATGGAGTAACAGAGCAGACTTGGACAATGGTGTGGAAGGGCAAGGCAAGCTATTTATTACTTCTTTAATAGCTCCTGAAGGACTCGCAACATGAAAAGTGCTTAATCTAGGTGTGACAGTGGGGAAATTCTGTTTAGGGTT